GACTTTATACTGGCTGTGTTTGCCACGTGACTTTATGATTTGCTTATTCAAAATAATTTTAACATAACGTACTAAAATCTTACATTTTCAAAATCATTTTAATATAACATATTCAACTCTCTACAAACAAATGGGCTAATATCTGCGAGCCAGGTTCTAATATTTATGTATGTATATTAAATAGATTATTTAGAAGGCCAAATTGACAACTGTATAGTTCGTGCCAAATTTTACGTTCCAAAAGCTCAAAATCAGTCACAAGTGTTGCCAGTTGTATCCCAGAGTTAATATTAAATAGTTCAATACCTTGATTATCTCATGTTTATCTAACAGCATAAGACCATTAATATTATTGATGTTATTGCAGCTTATATACAACCTAAAAACTTGAACAGTTTACTTTGTTATAAACAAAACACTAAAACTAGACAAGGGAGTATTTACTCAGTGTAAGAGCTTTTGATAACAACTCTGTGATATATCTTATATTACCATTACTAATTTTATTAGGAATACAGATGAAATTTTATGTTTAAAACGAAAAATAAAAATATTTCCCTTGCAGCCCTAAAAACTGTATATATATATTAAAATGCATAATATGTGGTGAAAGTTATGTTGGCTAAGCAGAAGATTTAAGTATGTTTGTTGGTTCTAGAGCAAAGCCATATTAGGCCATCTACAGTGTCCATTGTGGAGAATCAAACCTAGAATTTTAGCGTTGTAAGACCATGGATTTACTTACCGTTGTCCCATTGAGGGACAGGAAGTTAAGATTCAGAATGAACCAACACAAGGGTCATATTAGAAACTCATGTTAGAACCCATATGGATATCCAGAACATTTGGACAACTGTGGCTTAAGTACCCATGGCTCATTACAAGAACCTTTATTGTTTTGTTTTCCATTTTGGTTTTGTGATAATCAGTAAAAAATTGTTTTATGAGGGCTTGGAATCTAATTTAAATAACTTGTGGATTTTGTATGTTTGTAAACTGTGCTTTATTATTTAAATATTTAATTGTATTTGGAGTTTATATAACATATATAATTTGTATTTATTTTAGATTTTTTTAGATTATTTTTGTGAGATGTACATGTTTTTATATAAATTTCGAAAATATTATATGAATTATTTTTTAATTAGTTGGGCGAAGGTCATTCTTAAAGCTGCAAAAATGCTACCAAGCACCCAAAAACCAGAATAAAACAAACGATAACTCAGATCTGGTGATACTTTGAATATTTCTATATTGGATACATTGAAGAAGCTCTCACAAACGCATATACACTGGCTGGCTACTTCATTAGGGCCTGTGTACACTTTCAGACTTGGGTCTTATGTGAGCTATAACTGAAAATTGGATTGATGGGCCAGATAATCCCGGAAGCACTATAAATGACTGGGACAAGTACATTTGCAATAAGCCTAACATACAGTGTGATTATAAATTTCGCCGTTTAGCGCGTCATAACTCACAAATGTGAAATTGCATAGAAATGTTAAGGGTTTCATGTGGATGCTAATGCTGTATTATTCACTTTTTTGACACCAGAAGCGCCACTCTATATTCTTTCACATATTTTCCATAGACATAACTACGTTTTTTAAGAACACTTTTAGAACAAAGTCATTTCCCGTCACTATCGTTGTGAATGACCACCTCATAGACCAGCCGATTCAAAGACCAAACTGGCTGGAAAGTGACCAGAGTATAAGAGGTGACGCACGTTGTTGCTGTGATTTCCGTTGTCACACGGATGCAATGCACCTTGAAACTGATGAGCACTGTTTGAACAGCTGCTATGCTTAATTAGATATCAGATCATAGTTGCGCGCATGGTGTCAATGTGTGACAGCTGTGTCATTTGTATCCACATGACATCTTTAAGACTCCTGAGGAATTTACCTTCCTATGCCATACCTATGTGATATATGACACCTTGAACTGTGCAAACCGCCATGTTGGATTGGTTGTTGTTTAGCTCAAAGCTACGTAATGATCTATCTGTACTCTACCCACCTTGGGTATCGGAACTTGAATTTTAGGGTTGTAGTAGGGCAAGGAAAAGATATTGCACCATTGAAAAGAAGCATGATAATGGATGCACGTCTGGCTGATGCCAAACTGACCAAGACAGTTTCACTGGAAGGCTGCTCCAAGACATCGGTTTTTCAAGTTTATCAGCAACGGAAATATGTGTATGAAATGTCTGTTGTGGGGGAGGGGGGAGAGTTTGGATGTAAATAAGTTGCTACAGAAAGGTGGTTAGGTAGGATGGTAAAGTCCAAACATAATCAAACAAACAACTGAGAGACATTCAGTGTAGAGCAATCCACCTCCATCTCCAGCCGTACTTTTCAAAGAATGTTGCAATAAATGGACTGCGGCAATAGGAGAACATTACATAAATCACTATATTTTGTTACCAAAAAGGAAGAAAACAAGCCTATAGTGCTTTAAAGAGCATAGACATTAGACTAATAAAGACTGTCAAAATGTGATTCGGTATAATGGATCGTGCTTTATCCTTTTTCACTCAGGTGGGAAAAACCAGATTTGGAAAAAGCCACGAAAATAACTCCACCCTCTGATATGGTCCCAACTGTCCAGGCCTCTGGTGGTAAAACTATAATTTCGGACATGATTTAGTGGGATACCCTAGACCCTTTTGTCCCTTTAGAAGACAAAATTAAAGCCACAGTTTACCTTAGCATCATATCAAATGATGCTTCAGGAGTAACCTGATGGGGAATGCTATTTCCAAGACAGAAATTCTTAAATATATATTGCGTGAATGGTTTGAGGAACATGGCTGAGACTTCAGGCATATTTCATAGCATCCACAATCACCGATTCTCAATTCAATTGAATACACGTGGAATGAACTTGAAAAAACACATTGGCTATCACGACTCCTGCCTATCTTCTTCCAAGAATTGTATAAAATATTAATGAATTAATAGGAGAAAAACCCTCAAGACATCTTCCAGCTCTTTTTCGATCCTCTGTCTTTTCATATTATGGCTGTTATTTTGGGTTGTTTTTAAGGTACGTCCTAATAAGGTGACCAGCCTGCGTGCATATAAAAATATTTAGGTCCCTATAAATAAAATAACAACAACAACAAACACAGCCATAACCACAAAACAAACATTCAAATACTGGGACACATTACATAGTAGCCCACATTATGGTTTGTTACCCGGTGTTGAATATTTGCTTTATGTTTTTTTTTAAATAAAGATCTAAATATCTTTTTACAGCTGTATTTCATCCCATGTTTGGATATACTGCGTTCACGCCAGCCTTCGTTTTGGTGTATATTTGTAGCTTATAAAATTATATATATTTCACATGTATTCAATACTGAAACCTACTTATATATCTATATAACGTTCTTTCCAATTAAATATAACGTTACTGTTCGTAAAACGTGCACAACAAATCTTATTGTTTTTTATCATCATTTTGAAGGTAGAAAAAAAATAAAAACAGTATGAATAAGGAGGTTGGAAATAATCTGTATATAGATATACAACCAGCAAGATGAAAGTAGATAAAACTTGGACAAAACAGTTGAATTTTAAAACCCGAGAAAATTTTGTAGTTAAAAGTATATAGATTTATACTCTAACAATAAGCATACACTTTTCAATTCTAAATTCATTTATAAATTTTTAATTACTCAGTTTAAAATACATAGATGCGTAAAAGCCCTAATCGTGTCTCACAAGTGACAGCAACTACAATGATTCGTTGTGAGACAAGCATAAAAGGTGACTCAAAAGAAAAACTTAAATTGCCTGAATATAAAATATTAGTGATTCAAATCAGAACATCAACGTTTTGATTTGAAGCGCTAAATGTTTCAATGTAAACGCTTTGAATGTCTGAACTCAGCACCCAAAACGTGGTTTTTAAATTGCCGTCAAAATCTTGTATATTTTGTTCCTCGACTTGAGAAATTTCAATTTACAGTGTTTTCATATTATAAGTGTTACTGATTTCTGAATAAATTCCGTTATATTTTACACTAGCTACTGTACCGCAGTTGTAATTGTAAATGTTTAACAGACTAAAATTGACGAGAATATTATAGGTGTTTTGTTTTATGAGTAACATGATGTGTTAAAAAACCTGAAGCCTTGGACCTACTTAATTTAATTATATCTGTGTTTCGTTGGAGGTAACAGTTTTCAAATCCTTATACCGAGTGAAAGTGTAACAAGGCAATCGCCCCAGTTATGTAATTTTCTTGGTATGTTAAATAATCATTCTGACCAGAGGCGAATACAGGTTTCTGTAAAGGGAAAAGCCAGTCTTGGACTAGAATAGAAGCTTAATGACATACATATAGCTAGTTGTAATGATACATGTAATTACTTAATAATATGTTAAATAACAAAATAAATGCATCTTATTGTTTTGACTATAATATTAATAATAACGATAATCGGTATACCGCAAGAAGTTTGCTTTGACTGTATGGAAAACCAATTAGGAAAGGACTTTACCACATGTTCTCAGTTTCATTTAGCAGCACAGGTAATTAACTCTTTTATAATTTTAACTATTAAATTTTAGTTGCATTAAGAAAACTTCAAGCTCTATTATATAAAAGTATTCTTTGAAAATTTCATTATTTCTATTTAAAATAGAAGCAGAAACATGATATATAATTGATTGCTTGTTTGTAATTAAGCACAAAGCTACACAATGGGCTATCTGTGCTCTGCCCACCACGGACATACTGCTGTGGTACTAGGGGGCTAATTCGTTGTAAGTTTAATAGTAGGATTTTACGTTGTTTGTTTCATACTTTCTAACACCAACCAAGGATATGAGACACATGAAAAACACCACACTTATTTCACTCCAATTTGAGTTTATTTTTATTCATTATAACAGTAGAGTACAGAAGTACAACGATTTGTTTTTTATTTTTATATACGTAAAAATAATTCTCATAATATTTGAAAGTAATCTTTGGTTTATTTTTTGGCAACCACAACACTGATACAACAACAATAACTATAATGAATCTCATAAGTAGATAAAATAGATTGTTTGTATCCTTAGTGTTAAAAATACACGCTTTTATTGCACGAAGTCCCAAATGCCTTCCAACTTTATATATAAGTACACTTGTTGGCTATATGACAAGAAGCATCATTGATATCTTTAAAATGATGTAATTATTTACAGAAAAACAAACAACAAAAACTTATAAATACTTACTAGCACATCGACAATAATATTAAATTACCTATAACACGCTGTACTACTTCCATGATTGTACTTACACCAAATAAGCATAAGTGCTTTTTACTCTCTTACAGACTGTGAAGTAATCCTTTTGGAATTTAGTCATAATGAGCTCTTTGTCTACATATTTTGTTAATAAATGTGGTTTTACAAGTTTCCAGGTACAGGATTCCGCATAAGTTACAAATAAAGTGTAAACCGTTGGTAAAGAAAATGAAAGACAATCGAAAGAAATAGCTTTATTATTGGTGTAATTTCAATTTACCAAAATGACAAGTAAGTATCAATGTCATATCATACAAATCTTATCGGTATCTAATTTTTAACCATAGTCAAAGTATCTTGGATTCATATATTTATATGTGTGTGTGGTAAAATCGTGTTTAAAAAGTGAGCTAAATATAAATTACAGCCGTTACACTTATGTTTCAAAGTTGATGGTGATGCCTTCTTTCCATTTCCCAGAACAAACTTCAAGTCACTTATGACGACCGATGTTGGACTGGTTGACTTCCAGCACAGAATGTTTTTTCATGAATCAGTTTGAATGCATACTTCAATAGTTTCGGAATTCTTACCATGATCAGTCAAGGGGAAGTACTGGGAGAGGTAAAAGGAGTTTGAAGTCGGAATTTAATATATAATGGTACACAGTCTGAGTCTACAAATAAACACAAACATCATAAAACTGATTTGTGAAATTTATACATATGAATTTTAATGTAACTAGGAGTTTTATATACACGTGTGCACTTATGTTAATAGTAATGCATAAAAAGGATGATTCTTTCAAAGATAGAAAACATAAATAAATATTTAGATCCAGCTTTGGTGTTTCGATTGAAGTTAAGAACACAATTGGTAAAGAAACAACTGTTACAAAATCGTTAAGGAAAACTTCTCATTCACATAATGGAGCATTGCGATAGGTGAAGATCTCTCGGAAGGTCAGCAGAAAGTTAAAGGACTTACAACGCTAAAATCCGAGGTTAGATTCCCCGCGATGGATAGAGTGCATATAGCCCAATATGTGGCTTTCCGCTAAAACAAACAAAGACATCTTTAGTTCAAAAGTGTTAGTTACTGTAAAGCTTTGTTCGCTCTGAACAGCGTCAATGTGTAAAACGATTATTTAATGAGTGAAAGTAACTTTCTTAAGAATTTAGTAAATTCATTCGGAAGTTCTGAATAAAATATGTTCATGTCTATGGCAAGCCATCCGATTAATTTCTTCTGTATTCTGAAATTCCATTCAAGCAGTGTACTGTTAAAGCTACAACATTTTGCAGGAATATTCGGCTATTAGTGGAAGCTTCTTGGTTGTTTTTATTGTTTCTCATGATATCCTTTTTATTTTAAATTATATAAAACAGAAAACTAAGAATTCACAACACAAATACAAAAAAAAATTAAGCTGAGAGGTGATAATCTGTTCACAGTTACCCATTACTAGCACATGCTTTTTTGAATAATAATTTACCTATAAAAAATTATCGCTTGTATCAACCTGAAATCTTCTTCAGAATGATTATGAATTTGAGGTATTCAAGTTTCGTCAGTCAATTTAGGCGGGAAAAGTCACGGACGATTGAACTGGTTGAAGGAGTTATGTATAAGATGGCTTTACCAGTATATGAAAACGACACTGAATCGAGTGGATTAACTGTGAGGATTTATTATAACAATACTCTTTTTTTTTTGGTCCTGAAAATGCGCGCGCACTTTACTATCTAAATGCGCATGCACGCGCACTTTATTTCAACAGATGTAAACAAAAGGTGGATGTAAATATACTTTAGTAGACATTTTGTACAACAACACATTAAAAGTTTATCAAAGTTTTTAAAAACGGTTTAACGTTAGGTCGTAGAATAATATTATAAGTTTATTTATTGATAATGTTAAGTAGGGTAAAGATTATCTCTAACTAAACTAAAGCAAGAAAACGTACACAAGTTTCATTTATCTCTATCGAATATCGGCCGTATTTAATAAATGCTTAACTAATGTTAGGCCTAAGAAAAGTGAGCTTAAATATTTCGGTATCTGCGATTAGAATTCTTTTATATTACTCTCGAAATCTTGTATTTAAAGAAGTACTGTTGCAATAAAGATACTAATTTGACCGCAAATGTCTCTGCTAGTCCATAACTAAAATCAGTTTAAGAGCGTTACATTCTGTTAGAATTTCAGAAAAACCTACTTGTTATAAATAGTATGTCTCCGTTGTGTATTCTGGTGGTGAAATTTAGAAGTTGGTTTGCTGTGAAAGCAGACCGGTAATAAACCAGAAATAAAGTTTCAACATATAAGATTGACAATACAGGATGTCCTAAATATTAGTTGCTTCAGAGCAGTATATAATTAGTTGATATATATATATCTATATATCAAATTTTCAGCAGGTTTAGATTAATGTACGATTATATGTGAACGTACATAACCATATTTCACAGACTAATAAAGGACCGATGAGTTTGGTGCCGTAAAAAAAATGTTGTCCATGTGGAAGAGGTTTAAGGGTGGGGGTAACTGACTTTTGGACTACGTTGCATTGTGTAATATATTGTTTTCATGTTTTTTAAGCTACTTCACAATTCAACCCCAATCACCTTACCATATTTCTGCAGTACATTGTTGTACACTGCACAGATATTTTCATATTAATTATCTTAATAGAGAATAGTTTAAACCTTCACTGTTTTCGTTTTCTTTTTACTTTGCTAATAAAAACGTCAACACACAGATACACACAAAATAATACAACAGAATTAAGTACTATATGAGGCACTAGTAAAGAAAAAAAAACAGATTTCATGGCATCAATCTGTACATCTAAAAATCAACGAAACCTAATTGTTGAAAAGTAATCTCCTTTTCATTTGTTGGAATTAAGAGAGAAATAATATAATTCTTATTCACAAACACTGAAATCTGAAATGATTAACGAGTGGAATACATATATACATAACCAGTCAACTTCTTATCAATATAATAAATCAGTTGTTGCAGTTTTCGTATTTCAAGACATAAAAATCACAGTCTGTTGTGATATTTCACAACTCTGTGTATACATAGAAAATACCTAATACTAAGCTGTCAAGAAAGTCCTTCAGCTTTTTCGGATGAATCAAACATCTCTGTGTTGTGTTTCGTCTTCAGTTAAAATTTTACAGATTTTCCGAAGTTCATTATACCATAACTCATGTACATGACATTCTGTATGAAGTTCACTATACCATAATTGATGTACATGACATTCTGCATGAAGTTCACTATACCATAACTCATGTACATGACATTCTGTATGAAGTTCACTATACCATAATTGATGTACATGACATTCTGCATGAAGTTCACTATACCATAACTCATGTATATAACATCTGCACAGAAGGGCTCCTGTTCACACTAGACGCACACATTCGTGGTAACAGCCCTTAGCTCCAGGTGCGTGAAATTCGTTACCCCTGCAAAGTGGAAACTATTGGATGAGCATATCACTTATAACCACATCTCAACCACGTGAACAATAAATGAAAATGAAATGCAAACAATTTTGACATGTCGCGAAACAACGGTTAACTGCAATTTTGCGTTGTATGGATAAATTAAGACAAATCAGAAAAGTTGAGCAAACTTTTGAAAATCAAAAAAGGTTTTTAAATAATTTGGTAAAAAATACATCAACAAATAAAAAAGTAAACTCAGTTTTATAGTATCCATAAACTAATGTAATATAGTACATTGTAGTAAATATTAAAGGATAAGAAATACTTAGTAATCAGAGTATTTTCAGCAGGTGGCATATAACACAATAAAACAGTGAATTTAATGTTTTTATTAAATACATGTTTAATACTTTAAATTCTTAAAAAATAAAATGTTAGTTTAGTTATCGTTTGTTCATATTTATCTTTAAATTACTGCAGCTGTTCCATATCTACCAGTTCCCTAAATGCCACTTGCTCAGCATGTATTGTTGAATTGTATCCATTACACTGTTAGGATACGATACGCAACATAAAGACGAGCAAGTTAATGTATCATACAAACAAAAAAATCAGATGACATTTTCTGGTACTCTGTGGATGTTAAAGGTGTAAAAATGTCATTCAGACACAGATACGTGGTAAACTTAGCTTTATTACAATTGTCTTGTGACAGTTCTTTTCACTCAGTACCTATAATTGTACCATTGTACACAATCGTCATTGCATAAAACATAAGTATCATAAGAACTGTTTTAATTTGTTCAGAGTATATTAATCTAAAAATCTCAGTATAACCAAACACGTTATACTACTGGTAAATAATGAATGGTAAATAGACTCTCAGAAGCAGCGATAATCGTTGTTGGAGCAAGTTGGTCCCCTACAGGGAGTGAAGATGTGCCCATACTGGGGGGAGGGGGCGGGGGCGTATAATCATTATCAGTGCAACGAATCTTTTTTACGTGTACTGTGTTACAAGCGTCTGTAAGATGGTGTACGAATTAGGCTTTGTAAAAACTGTTTCCATAGATCACTGCCTCTTCGTGGTTTGCTGGTAGGGGGCGTTTACTGCAGAAACAGTATCCTAGCAATACTAGAATGACCCCCACCTTAACTCGTCTTCCTGCAGTAATGATGTCATAAAGTGTCGCGTTACACGACGCTTTTTCTAAATTGTCTACGTTTCCTGCCGGACACTAAGAGAGAAATGTAAAACTGGAGAATAAAGTAAAATAAAAACAATTCTGTTTGTTTTCTGTGTTAATATACGAGCATTAAGAAATAAAGTTGCCTCTTTTTTGTGTCTATTCAAGTATATATCTCTGATCGTAGAGTTAGCTTTATAGCTCGTATCTGTTCATTTGTAAATAACATAAGATGTCTTAAAATTTGAAAAGATATTCTTCACGTAGTGTAAAGCAATGACTATAAAATCATTTGCATTTTTTTTCTTCTATCTAACTTGCATCTGCTCGCTTAGTTCGACCGTTGAGTTCTTTGGGATTTAATCATATAAGAGTCGACGTTTAAAAAGAGAAAGCATTTGGTTCTTAATGGCCTACAAACAGCTGAAGTATATTCCATCTTATCTTGACATGCTGTCTGTTGGGTTTTATATTAGACCGTCAGGTGTATAGGTTTAGGTAACAGTGCAGCTGTCTGCCTTTTGTGCCGTTGTATACATTTTTTATGCATAAGAGAAGTGACAATGTAAGAAACAAGGCATCTACGCTCAAGCCCACATAAGATAGACAAATGTATTTAACACATTGTATACGCCCCATCTACATATAAATGCATATGGTATACACCAGCATTTCTCATTAACTTTGCCATCGCTGTTTTCCTTAATAGGCAAATAAAACGTATACTGTTTAGTGTTTTGGTCCATCATCTAATATAATCTATTTCTTGCTCTGCGACTACCATAGTGACCGGTAGGATTTTATTTTCTGGAAAAGCCGCAAGGAGAAGCGTTGAGATAATAAAGAGTTTATTTACCACTAAACAAAAAACTTGCTTCCTGTGCACAAATAAATTCCAGTATAAACTAAGTCAATCTTTTTACACTTTTATAGTTTTTTTAAATATCTTTGTCTAAAATAAATTAAATATTAGAAATCCAAATGGTTCATGCTATAGCATACGTACGTTATAAACTGTGTAA